CATGCACATCAATTGTGCCTGAACACCAGCACAGGCTGTCTGGAGAGGTGCGACAAACTCCTAAACATGCACACACCTACACATGTATAGGCATGGACTCTCTTACACAACAGGAAAGCTCGACCTGAAGAACTTGATTTACAGATGTTGTTTCTAGTGGCGCAAGAATAGTATAATGTATAGCAGCTATAAGGGCAAAGGAAAGGCATAGTGCTCATGTTTCTAGGATGCAACAGACGGTGTCATCAACAAGGAAGTCTGAACTTGGGTTTGACGGTCAGCATGATGGCTGGCAATACAGGGTTTGAGCACCTGGCATTGCAGGACACCAAAATTGCCTTTTCGGCTGCTGTGGATAAAAAGAAAAAAAGCGTTACAGGAGTGCTAAATTGGCGAAGGGGCATTTTTTCTGCAAACCTTTATTTTAACAATATCGTTGATACGACAACTATATCTGTCGGCTGCGGCAGATGTTTTGAGACATTCAGTATTACTACTGAACGAAAAGAAGACATAATGGCAAGCAAGGACAAACAGCAAACAACATGCAGCTAATGATTAAGCAATATACAAACTGCGCCTTTCATTCCTTGGTGGTGCATGGGGAAAAGAAAGAAACATGGAAAGGACTGAAAGTTATGCCGGGCTCATTGTTGCATACTGTGGTTCGGGGGTTGTTTCGACCACAGTTGAAGTCATTTCGTACGCATCATTCTTTGTCAATTGACTCACAAAAATGGCCGATGGCTTCGCGTTGTCGCTCTCTGTCATGGTGATAGTCTTAGCCTTGCCTCGATATCGCACCAAATAAATTATTATCAAAGCACCAGGTATAATCAAACCAACGAGAAAACCAATGGCTCCTGCTACAATATAGGACGATGTGGAAGATGGTGTTGTCTGTTCCGCTGAAGGGAAAACGGATCAGCGACATAACACAAAATGCATAAAACCATCTTATCTGTGATGAACATGCCCTTCTGAGTATGAATATTGTAATCCAAGCAATGAATTTCAAACTCAATCTGGCGGATTTCCATTGCCCTTCAAAGTATAGAGGAATGTGTTCCACGAGTGGGCGACTCACTTTTAATATTTATTTTTATTTATTTTATATAGCTATGAATAGGATGAAGGCCGCAGACATCACGCAACTACGTTACTTGTTCGACATGTATTTACTGTGTATTTTATAACAAATTATTATTGAAAACCCATAATCGATTTTCTTGTTCCTATCATCAGTGGGAAAAATACGGAACTAAGGATACAACCAAAGAAACTGAAGTTAAGTGCTGTAAATAGAAATGTGTTAGAAATAACAACAAAATACAAGTGCAATAAAACCACTAGAGGAAACGCAAAAAGGTAACAAGATTACGTAACCAAAGGCGAGAAGGCGCTAAACGAAGTGTCAACCTACGAATACAACTTCAGTGCTACAACGTGCTCCTTCTGCTTACACAAAACATTTTTTTATTTTTTATTTTATTGGGAACACAGCCCTACAAAGAGATATTTGGAGACAAACACAAGACAAGACACAGGGGATGTAGGGATGACGTGCCGCTACAGGGAGCAACTCGACCGACCAGGGGTCTCAGCGTGGGTAGCAAAGTCTCTCCCCGCAGAAACAAATACAGCGGAATTTGACATAAAGGTTTGTAATGGCTTCTTGCACCATCGCTTTTTTCCGAGACTGAATTGCAAACCATGCAGCCCTAAATGATCATGCAAAACGATAGGCACAATTATTATTCTAACTGGTTTGAGGGAAAGAGACAAACGGGAAAAGTCTGAAGAAAAATTGACTGTCACCACCAGGACTCGAACCAGGGACCCTCGCTTGTAGCCAGCGATGCTCTAACCACTGAACTATGGTGTAGTCGTTATCCCAGCAGAGGCCGTTCAACATTTTCTTCAGACTTCGTAACTCACACTTCCTGTGAATCCACACAGGCGGGTGGGACGCAGCCCTCACTGTAACCCACACACTTCACGTACAAACTAGCACGCGGGGAGCCCCAAGTCGTAAAATACTAACTGGTTTGAGGGAAAGAGACAAACGGGAAAAGTCTGAAGAAAAAATTGACTGTCACCACCAGGACTCGAACCAGGGACCCTCGCTTGTAGCCAGCGATGCTCTAACCACTGAGCTATGGTGTATTCGTTATTATTATTATTATTATTATTATTATTATTATTATTATTATTATTATTAGTATTTGGAAAGGATTGGGAGAACTTCAAATTCAAAGGATCAGTCGGGGAAGTGAACTGCCTGAAAAGAGAAAAAAAGTCCTGGTGGGTCTGGCGTTTTTTTCTCTTTTCAGGCAGTTCACTTCCCCGACTGATCCTTTGAATTATTAGTATTATTATTATTATTCTCAATTCATGGATGATATGGTGTCAACCAATATTATGAATGAGGGCTACCAGCCATGGAATAAAAGACCAAGAAGGCAAAAATGCACACGCAAAATATGGCAAGTTATATGAAAATGAAAATGAAATAAAAGTAAATCAATCCAAAACCAAAATCAATTATAAAAATCAATCCAAAACCCAAATGAATTGTACAGGTAGCATATGTGATTTACTTTGGAGCTTGAAGTAATACACAAAGAGAATTGAAATCAATGATTAGCAAATGAAGATCGACGTACGTGTTTATTTATCAAGCTTAAAAACGCATTGAGGGTGTTGCTGGACTTTAATTGCTGAGGAAGAGAATCCCATAATTGGTATGCTAGGAATATAGGCGATTTGCTCATAGAATTGTTTCTTGCAATCGGGAAACGAAGCGAGTTCCGGCTTGTTGAGGATTCATTGAACCAGTTTAAGGAATGCTGCACATGCTGAGGGGCAGTGATAAGTTTGATTTTGTGAATGTATACACGCAGGAGGATCGGTCAATGTAATGTTTCAGAGGAAATGTACAGCGATGTTCATAGAGAACGGCTATGTTGGTCTCGGGCGGCAAACGAAGTATTGCCCGGAGAATCCGTCGATGCACAATCTCCAGCTTTGCAAAGAGGCCATTACCAGCGCCACACCACACCACACAGCAATACAAGAAAATAGGCAAATCGTATGTATGATAAAAGGTCTTTCGGCATTCTGGTGAAATGTGGGGGAGATGGCCATAAAGAATACCGACGACTGAGCTTGCCCGCTTTTCCAGATTCCGGAAATGGTGGGACCAGTCCAATTTGCTATCAAGTGTAACGCCAAGGTGCTTGTGACGAGAGGTTATAGGTATCGGGGTAGGATCATCGGGGAAATGGAAAATATAAGTTTGAAGATGTGCAACATCTGATGACGCGTTGGGGACGACACACATGATCTCGGTCTTGGCGGAGTTCGGCCGGAGTTTCCACCTTCGCATCCACTTGACCACACAGTCTATTCCTACCTGCAGGTCTTGACACGCGACGGGGAGCGACCGGTGACTAGCCAGCAGAGTGGTGCAGTCCGCATATAGCAAGGTGTTGGGAATTGCACCGATGTCATTCACATGTATTAGAAAAAGCAGGGGCCCCAGCATTGATCCCTGGGGGACACCAGAACACACGCGTTCAGGGTGGGACAATTGACCCGAGATACTCATTTGCTGTGAGCGACCACACAGGTAACTCTCCAGCCACCGCAGTATGCGTCCTTGAATCGAGAATGATGCTATCTTAGCCATCAGCCCACGGTGCCACACAATATCAAAGGCTTTAGATAATTCGAAGAAGCAGACTAGGCTGTACTCGCTGCGATGGTGATTGTCATGCAGGGGTTGAACAACTCGAAGTAGCTTCCAGGCTGTTGAATCACCTCGACGGAATCCGGACTGTGATTGATGGAGATATGGATCTACATGTGCATAAAACTTGTCATACATTATTCGCTCACACAGCTTTGATATCGTTGAGAGAAGGGATATGGGACGATAGTTCGTCGGATCCGTTCTTGCGCCTTTGTTTTTGTACAGCGGGATGACGACAGCAGCTTTCCAGGCAGTTGGAAAAATACCGGTGGAGAAAGACAGATTGAATAGCAGACTCAAAGGAAGCGATATCGACGGGCCAATCAATTTCAGCAGCTCGTGTGTAACTCCATCAATAGATGATAGACATCCAAATGACTCCTTTGTCACTGTCAGAAAGTTGCCATCTAGTTTTTATGCTGTCAGCTTGAATACATTTTCTAGTAACCTAGGCAACTAAAGCTAATTTAAAAAAAATCCTTTCGATTTGGTGCCAAATTTCACCATATGGTCAGTTCGTACTCCCCCAAATCCGCTTTTTTGCGAAATCTATTATATAAGCAACATGACTCCAACTTTTATACATTGGATAACCCATTATAATCGCGATCAGTCAAGAGTCAAGTTTAAGCCATGTCGGCGGAATAGCGGGAGCAAACCATTTTCAAATGCAAAAGAAGAGAGGATAAAACAATAAGAGGACGGAAATGTGTTTAAACTCTGAGTTTCATTCACTATGCCATTATCAGAAAATAGTAAACCCAGAGCTAAAACACTTCTCGGTCCTCTTATTGTTTGAACTAGCTCTGCCTCTCGGTATTGAGCACTCTTATCGACAGCCTGGAACCTCTCTGTTGTAAAAGGAGAGGATCAGGAAAGAGAGAAAAAGAGAGAGAGAGAAAGGAAGAGAGAGAGAGAGAGAGGCAGATATTGGAAGCTGGGTTTGCAACTGCAAGATTCACGTAGTAACGTATTTGCAATTAAGGGCCCCAGCGCTTGTGCTGACATTTACATCTCTTCAGTGAAGGTTAAATATATTGAAAATCTATAATTTAAGTATGAAGAAAATGTTGAACAGTCTCTGCTGGGATGACGACTACACCATAGCTCAGTGGTTAGAGCATCGCTAGCTACAAGCGAGGGTCCCTGGTTCGAGTCCTGGTGGTGACAGTCAATTTTTTCTTCAGACTTTTCCCGTTTGTCTCTTTCCCTCAAACTAGTGAAAATCTATAATAATTATTTTAATATTATTTGTCATTATTCCCCTAGCTATGCAGAAGACGTTACTTCAGTAACGTCTGGCGCTAGCCAGGGTCCACACAGCTTTAATTTGGTGTTTGTTTGTTTGTTTGGGTGTTTGTGTGTTTGTGTCATACAGCTGGCCGCACTATTCAAATAGGGCTTTCAAACGCAAGATCATAACGTGAAGCAACTTGGACAAATGAGTATGAATGCGAAGTGTATGGGGGAATGCATGTAGGGCGATAGTGCAAGTTCGAATCCCAGGTAATGCCTTAAAAAAAATTAGGAGAACTGAAAAATTATAACATCTCTTTTCTTTTTTTGCCGTCATCAAGGCGGTCATTGCGGTCATCAAGGCGGTAGACGGTGTATTACCCTCGACCGTACCTGTCCCGGACCTGTCCCGGACCTATCCTGTACCGTACCGTACAATCAAAGACGGCTGGCTACAATGCATATTTAGAAAAGCGATCCTGTCAGCTTTTCTATTATTGTGTTCACATGGCAAGAAAAACGACACCGCTATGCTACGTAAGCTTCTACGTAAGGTGCTCGGTATTTCACTTAGGCTACGTAAGTCTCTACGTAAGGTGCTCGGTATTAGATCTACCAACGGGTGGTAGCCGCGTGCGGTGCACGTGCACGGCAGACATTGTGTTGCAGTGCAGTACTAGTACTGCAGTCCGTGTTCGAACGTTCGGATGTGCATGCGCGAGGAACTTCCTTCTGGAACTGCTTCTTGTATGAGCTGTTTCGGAAATTTCGTCTCCTGGCCTGGCTTATTTCGTTTCGGCGCTGCTGAGACCTCCTTTCGCGGAATATTACTCAATGACAGGTGAGTTGACCAGTTCCCTTGGATTATTTGCTTGTGTTGACTCTTTCATTTACGAAAAGTGTGCTGAATTTGGGCGG